TTTAAAGGTAAAATGTATTCTATAAAACGACTAACGTGTGTTCACACAGATTTCAAAATCGACTGCAATGAGTTATTTCAAATTGTTAAAAATTTCTTAGTTTTAGGCTTAAAACAATACCCACGCTAGGCTCTGTTTTGGGAAAAAAAAATTTTCGTTAAAAACTTAAACATAAATTTTAATATATTTAACATTAGTCGGATTGTCAAGTAGCTATGGCAGTTTTGCGAAAATGTAAATAAATAAATTGCAACATATGCTTGTAACAAATCATCTACAGTACAGAAGCAAATTGAAATTGTGCTACTTGTTACAGTAAAAATGAGTTTAATTTCTCTAGAACAACCCATAAAACCTTTAATAGGGGATATTAGTCTATATTTTTAAATGAGGTCTCTCAGGCTAATGGAAAATATTAAAAATTGCTGCCATTCTGTAATGGGTTCAAATAGAGACCTCTAGTTTTCGCTGATTTTTTTTTACTAATGACCTTCTAAATTAATTATGTGTCACTTTACATATAATCATTTGATTTGCCCCTAAAATAACCCGTTTTGGGTTTTCGAATTATACTGGGATGGCAAAAAAGTGCACTTTCATGCCAATTTTATAGAGCTGTGTTTTGGTTTTATACTTTTGCCCATTCTGTATAAATACTATTGTCTATAGTGCAAATACAATTATTAATCATAGGGAGAATTTGTGTGGATATAACGATATTTACTTATGGTTATCTTATCTTCATAAGGTTCTAGTACGTTCACGATTTATTAGTTAATTACTCACCAAAACATGTTTTCCAACGAGGCTTTTCCCTGGCTTGGGATAGAAGTAGTGCCAAATCTCGAGCACACTGAGATAAATAGAGTAGTACATAGCCAAACACGATCTCAGACCCAGCTTCAACATCTCACCAGGGCTTTGGTCCATGGCTGTCGTGTGAATCTGACTGTTAAACAATTACAACTAATTATAATTAATTACTGTTTACTTAGAAACTCAAAAAATATAGAGATATGTGTTTCATTCGAACTAGATAATTGTATAGGAATTACTCCCATTAAGAAAATTGTAGTAAACCTGACTAATATGCACAACTCCTACCTGTTCCCGGTTTTGGTATTTTTTGTATTAACGGTATTTTTTGTTTTAACGGTGTATTTCCATTATTGGAGTTAGGTATATATTGAATTAAAAACCCCTTTGCTCCCATTTGATAGTGACATTAAATTAAATTAGTTTTCTTCTACGAAATGTATTCATTGTGGTTTGGATTTTACCTGAGGGTTGTATATGGAATAAATTGTTCACAGATCCATTAGAACTGTAATCTGCTTTTTTGACATAAAACATGGTGACATGGAAATTTCCATTTGATAATTAAAAGTTAAAACAAAACGAGATATATTTTGCCGGTGATAATACAAAGCCAATACAATATTCAAAACCATCCAATTTGTTGAAAAGGACGACGTGTGTTTTTTTCAAACATTTCAAATTGCCTCTGTCAAAACATTGACGGTTGTTGAGGTTATACGATTTTGACGTTAAATTTAATATGTTAATTTGTATATAGATAAGAAAATCGCTGGTACCTGATATTGCAGGTAATATAAGCAATTTTCTGTTTTGTTTAAAGAAAATCAACACTTCATTATAAAAACGAAAATATAGTTTGTGTTATTGATATCGAGTTTATTTCATAATATTTTACAATTAAAGGAATTACACCAATATTTTCCTATCATGAATATGAACGGCGAAATAAAATATTTTGTAATGTCTATGTAACAGTGTGCTATCTCACATAACATATTTGCCATGCAAAAATCTTAATAGATGTCAAAATTGATGGATTAAAGTAAGGGTTGAAATGAAATATAGGTCAGCAAGAATTCAGATACAAAAAATATTTAAATTTCAGAAAAAATATTCCGAAACCGCAGTATTTCAAGCATTAAATCAAACGCTGTGTTTCAACAATTCAACTTTGTCATCAATTGTGTAGTTTTATCCATTGTAGAATTGATGTGGGTTTCCACTAGGTTTTTGAAATTGACATATATACTGAGCCTATATATTTAACCATTTGTTTAATATTTGACAAATATTTATTCTTCTGTCTAAAGTGTGCCCTATTTTACTTTAATTCTTCATTTAAGATTAAAATTAGGATTCGATAAAAAAAATATACTATGACAATTTATACAGGCGGAGTTATTTAGTTTTTGTTTTCTTTCTTATTTATAGTAAAATTTATTTTTGCGTCACAACACATTTTCATGAAAAAAATATTTATGATTTAAGCTATATGTTGCAGGGTTTTTTTTCCTTTTCCTACATAGAGGCTATAATATATACAACAACTCAACATACTATTGAAAAATCAACATATCAATACTCCACGGTTCAACCTATAGCAATTCTATCTGATCAAATCCTTATAGTAAACTCTTAGCAGACCAATAAGCTTACCTCGGTCGTGTAGCTGGTGACGATATAACTGTAGACTGCAAACAGTATTGTCTACCTGGGCAGGACAAAGTGGTTAACCATGAAGCCCTTCCTCAACATACCCAGATTGTCGCCACAGAACACCGGTAGAACATCTAGAACAGGCCGACGAACTCACCGACCTTGCCGCTTATCTCATACTTGTGTATCTTGGATTTAGACACCAAATGATGTGACTGGGATCTCCGCTCTAGTAGATTTGTTTGAAAGATTACTAATGAAATTACTTGTTTTTGTCAGACAAGTGCGGAAATGCTACGACTGTAATCAAAACAATCAATTACACATTTCGATATAGTTATTGTTGTACTAAGAAAAGTTTTCCGTGATTTTAAAGGAGTTAGGACTTCTCATCCCAAACTAAATTTTGACGCTCGTTTTTCTTGTCTACGTGACGCTGATTGCTAGGGTCGACGAAATTTTGTTTCTATTATTTGAGGACCAATTTCATGATTAATTCATTAACGCATGATAATTAAATTTTCAATAATTAAATTTTGTGCTTTACTGTTTGGTTGAGGAGACGAATTTTTGTTTATGATTAGATCGGTTTATTTTTGGGTAAACGAGGTTTTAAATGACCTAAATTGTTATTTTACATCTTTATTTATAAACAATTTAGTAACAAATTTGTAAACAAAACACGACCGCTACAGTGCACCGGACATAACTAAGAATAAAATTGGCTTCAGCTGTTCCATAAGGATGAGAAATCTACTAAAGGGAGTATAATTATCTATGGTAATATATACACATGGGGATTGAAATCATAGTGCGCATATAGTGAAATGATTTATATAATAGTTTTGTTACTCCTGCTGATTATTTTCTGAAGTATTACTGAATTTCTAATATTTGGTCAAAACTAAAGATAAATATGTTATTAACATTACCAAGACAAATTTATCTTTAGAAAGTGCAGCTTCTGACAAGATTTATTATGTTGATCTCATTACTAAACATAGACGATAAGCTTTAGTCGATTTCCCGGATGTAATATATTATTGAGTACCACTCTACTCCAATCTTAGGCTTAATATTTGGGTATTGTCATTTTTGAATCGTTACTAAATTGACCATGGACATTATTCTACAAATTACTAGGTTTTTACCTATTATAACTACAATGGTAGGCTTTAAGTTTGATCGAGTATATCTTTTATGTAGTGCTACCACTATTCCTAAAGATAATATATTGACCATTCTGCATCTTTTGACACATAGGTATCTTACTCGCTTACCTTTTGAACATTTCCGTTTAAGGAAATGTGTATAGAGTACATTATTGAACATCAAAATCAAAATTGTATTGGGCCATTCAACATTTACAGTAATAGGCTAGGCAAAAAATAACAAATGACGACCATCTTAAGTCCTCTTGACGCATAATAGAGTTCATGCATAAACCATCAGTCCAAGCTAAATAAAAATAAAACATGAACAAGTAACACCATGCAGAAAACACTAAAAGTATTAAAAAAAAAGTAAAAAAGAATAATATCAAACACGACATGCACGAACGACATTCAAATCTAAACCTAAATAATTTATACGTTTATCAGATTGATCACTGCTCAACCTGAGGAAAATTTTATAGATCCAGTGATACCTGATCAATTTCCAGATTTGTATAAAATATTAGTTCTATTGCTAAAATTAAATAAGGGGATTCCCTACAAAAAATTACCAAAATATAATGTTTTTAATGTTTTTACAGGTTATTGTTATACGGTATGTCCTCTTTCAGAAAACCCATACATAACAAGGTATAAGTGGTTTTGTAAATGAATAAAATATTATAGGAGGCTCTATATGCCTGTACCCCAATGGCAAATAGCCAAGCCAGGTGAACCAATAAGCCTAGCCCATCGATGTATAATAACTCCCGCCTAGCCAGCCTCCGATTCCAGCAAATTTGGGTTTTTCGCGTTTTTTTTACACTAAAATGAATGTACTGTATCTCATAAAGTACTTGTAGTGCGGTTAAAATTGTAACCCAATATTTCATATAAGTATGTATAAAAAGTTAGGAATAGTTATGCGTGTAACACAATTAGAAGTAAAATGAAAATGATTTTTTTTTTAAGTGAAAAGTATTTTTTTATGTTTTTTCTTATTATAACTTTTTCCCTAAATAGATACAAATATAATTTTACCCAAATTATAAGAAGACTAAAAACCCTTCAATATTACACCTTGAATATGAAATTCTAGCAGATAGAAACTGAGACATAAGTTTTTATATAACCGTTATTTTTAAGAATATAGATACAACAAATATACAGAAAAAGTAAAAAAGTTTGACCACAAAGTTTTTTTTTTGTAACAAGTACAAACTACAAAAACCTTATTTAGTACTAAAAAGAAGAATATTAACATAATTAGCATTTTCAGTGGGTAATCCCTCCGTGTTATAGGGACTCCAGAATTGTATCAATCTATATTCTATACTGTAAACAACCACTTAAACCACTTTTTTTTTGTAGGGTGAACGTTGGCCGCAGAGGGGCCAAAGAGTTCAGAGAAGCTGAAGACCTCGGAGCCAAGTCACGGCGGGAAGCAATATGTGATCAGAAATTCAACAAGTGCTTCTTCTCTTCGCGGCAACTCGTTAAGATCCTCCGAAGTTTCTAGCCATAGTAGTTCATCAATTGTATATAGTCAGTTTGTAAACTACCGAAAAAACTGAACTCCAAACACGGTAGCTCATTTGTAGATATACCTAACCAGTTGCTAAAACCGTCTTACCATTGTTACTACTAGCTTGTGACCAGTGACGATGTTACCATTTTATTTCTTGATACCCAAAAATATTGAGCACATTTCTTGCTACTCCAGCAAATGCCAATTTTGAAGAGAGAAAGAATAAAGATCAAGAACGGTATTACGAATAATTTAGTTACCTTCGTATCTGAGCTGGATGAAAACATTATCTTGAATATACACTTTGTGTAAGGGAAGAATGTAAAGATGATCATAGGTAGTCGTGTACTTTATAAAACTGAAGAAAAATATGTAACTGTTTAAAACTGGTTAATTGATATTTAAGTTTGCCTATAATCAAAGCTAAAAGTTGTTCATTGTATTACAGAATTAAACCAAATATTCCTCGATTTACTGTATACATGCACATTATATACACTGGAGTTGTGTATAACCATATTTGTAATAAAAGATAATTTTGTAGTTAAACGTTTGCAGCCTGTAACCGTTGAATAGCGTTAACGTCAATTAACTGACCAAACTAACACATGTAGTCATTATTATCTTGTGTTTTGTTGAATAATTTTAAGTTTTGTAAATAAACGAATTTATTTTTTGTTGTCTACATTATTTTTACATGCATTTTTTATAATCGAGTGAATAGAGAGGTCTGATAATTTACAAAAATGCATTTTTTTATGTCGGTCCACAGTAAAATCAAGATTACTGATCCACATAAACATTCACAAACAATAAATTATATCTGTAGGATGTTTAATTTAGAATACAATATCAATGAACAACACAACGGACTAACCCTTGAATTCCATTACATTTGTAAGATAAACAAATGAAAAGTGATTAACTGTTTGTAATTAGCAACAAAACCAAGTAAACGTTGCATTGAATTATGTTTGATCAAAACGTATGTTATAAATATTTGCTGAAGATTAGTATCCTTGGATCAAAATCAAGTTTCAGAAATTCGTAGTAACTTTTTACTGAAAAATTATCATGGTAGTACGACAAAAAGGAACTATTATTCTTTCTGACAAATTATCATGGTAGTACGCCAAAATGGAGCTATTTTTCATACAATGCTTAGCAACTATTGCAGACAAAACTTGGCAACTGTTGAACGTGGATAAAATGCTGTCATAGCCCTTTTTTGTAAATATCATTCCATGCGAAATGTTATTCCAGCTTTAACCAAGCAGCCCATTTATAGTCGGTCGTGGCTTTACTCAATTTCCAAAATCCATAACATACATCCAAAATAAGTTCATGTTTATATGTCGTTTAAAATATATATAAGTAATATTTTTCCAAAAAGTTACAAAAAATTATATAAATTATAACCTTAGTAATCTGTAATTCTCAAGAAACCATTAAAAAACAAAAAATCCAAGTTCAAAAGGATAACTGGTTTGTCATGTATAAAGGGTTACTGTATCTAAGTTTTAAGACGCATTAGGGACAATTAAATGCCAAACGGGCCGTTGACAAATATCAAACATCTAAAGGTGAATCCGAAGGTCAATATGGAAATAGAGGTTACAAGGGTTATGCAATTTCCTGCCAACATTTCCAGCTTCCTCAGTGAAAGGTCGGCTCAACCCTGTTTGTATATAGCTTCTCACTCTATTCGTTTTGGATGCAATTAAATGCAAAAAAAGTAAGTACCGTAAAATTATCTTACTATAAAGCTGGGTTTTCCTAGACGCGGAGTCGGCCAGCGGAGAGCGGACAATGGAGAGCGGAATTGAAATTAACATGGCATTCCGCTCCGCTGCTAGGAAAACAGTAACATTAAATTGCCTAAGACCAGCTGAGTCCGCTCTCCGTTGTCCGCTCTCCGCTGGCCGACTCCGCGTCTAGGAAAACCCAGCTTAACGGAGAGTGAGAAGATTTCCCTCAACTGAGAGAGCTATCATTTTATTTTATTGTCGTATACATACAGTAGTATGTGGAGAAATTTTACTTTCTTGCTCTATACGGAGAGTAGTATATAAGAAAGTTGTTTATGTTTTTAAAAGGTTAATGGTGATTTCACCATATAAACCCATAAAATAATAGAAAATCAAACTTACTCAAAAATAGCCTGAACCATTATGATTAAAATTTTATATGTTATAGTCCTTTAAATTCTTAACAAAACAAAATTCACATTACTGTAAATGTCATGGTTTATTGTAACTTATATGATTTTGTCATAAAAACTCATATAGGCCTAATAACAAAAACTCAGTTTTTTTTTCAAAAATCTCGACCGATTTTGATTAGAGTTAAGTGTTTTATAGTTATTATAATTCTAAACAGAATAGTGCAACCATTGCTGTACAAATTACGATTCCATAGTTAGTTATCGCAACATTTGTAATTTTACGCAAAAAATACAATACAATCTCTCACTGCTTGCCTATGATAAGGGTTGTTTGCAAGCTTGGGAGAAAGCATGTGTCAGATTTCTGATACCATTTGTTTCATATTAAATTGGTGCAGCTAATTACAACAAAATTGGTCAGCACCTAACCTTCAGGGAAAATTAGCTTATGACCATTGGTGATTATTGTGATCGAACCCTTGTCTCCATAACACAGTTTATGCTCTAGCCACTATAGCAGCTTGTCGCCATATGACGGTAATAGGATTCTAATAGTAAAAAAATCCTAAGCCCTCGACAGCATTGAAAATCATTAAAGTGGATCAAATAAATAAACTAACGTTGCATCACTCAAGTACGGCGAGTTTAGTTTATATTGGGAATTTTCAACAATTTCAAGGAAAATATATTAAGTTGATGTGCCAAGTTTAGGTGCTAAAACAAAAGAGTGTGTGATATTATAATTGTAAAAAAAGTCATAAAGGTAAAGGTAAATTAGTCGGAAAAATTCACAAAGGCAAATTGGTCGGAAAATATTCATAAAGGACACAATGAAAAATTAATCGTCTCCATAATTATACACTCTAATTGTAATTTTTTGTTGAAATGCCAAAATACAGTCCATGTCAAAACGTACAGGTTAGTCAACTTTACTTTTTAAACACAGTTATGAAACTATCAAATTAATTTAATTAGTTAATATCTAAAATAAGTGTTTTGTGTTGTGGTAAAATATAAGACGTTTAGCTTCTGTATTATACAATGCTGTAAAAATATAGCCAAACTTTCTAACTATAATAGTAGTAACACTCTAGATACTTCAACCATTTGACCGAAAGGTATAGAGTGTCGGGGTCAAGTAGGTATAGCAGTTGTTATGAGGGGACCCTGGGGGGGGGGGGCTCGGGGGGATTGTGGGGGGCTCTTGACAATGTGGGTAGCCCCAACTACCGGGCTTCACTTGTCCTGTCAAAGTGACAGGGAAAGTCCCCTTTGAGCTCTATTGTAAATTTGAAGCTTGGTCGTTGCATAATCCTTTATCGTTGTGTAAGAGCATTGACTATATAACACTTAGTGTTATAGTCAATGTAGTGTTATATAGTTATATAACTACTAGTGTTATATAGTAGTGTTATATAGTCAATGGTAAGAGCTACAGTGTTGTGTGATCTATGTTTTAGTGGTATAAAGTAATTGTAGCTAAGAAAGGTTAAGATAAATGAGGATACATTGTTACACTTCATATCTCCCTCAAGAGTATTCTTATTGACAGAATGAATAACCTACAGGTATGAATAGTTCTGCTTTGTAAGAACTACTAAATAATAACTTCTTCAGTTCCCAATAGTCAGTGGTAGTCCTGTAAGTACTAAACTACTAAGTAATATGCTCAAGTAAGATGGTCTAGTGATAGAGTACGGGACATTGGTTCCCAAGGTACTAATTGGAAAGCAATCTTGGGCTAGAGCCTATAAAACATGACTAAGTCATCTAGGTACTAACTACTACGCAACTTGTCAAAACATATAGTTCCCTTGATATTGTAAATAGCAAAACACAAATCTGTAGTTAATATTATATGTGTTTAAACTGATTGTATATCTAATAATGATATGTTTACGTATCACAACTTTAGATATTACAGTTGTGTGGCATTATGTTTTGTTTCCGTGTAGCCTATAATTATGTGTCAATAGATATAGTTATTGTGTGACAACATTAACTTATAATTAAGATAATTAACTAAATTAACTAAATATCAAGATTTGTAGTTGTGAAGTGGGACAAACCTGACTAGCTTCTGTCTTATTCTACTCCATTTTACAACAAAAAATCTTAATATTTCAGCTATTTCTTATTCGATTTTTTACCTTGGTATCGTTTGATAGGAAATTAAAAACTCTAAATAAAAGGGTACAAGAATCTTTTTCGAAAAATCAGCCATTTTCGAGTAATTTAAGTTTAAAAAATTAAAATGGCCGCCATTATGAAATTTTCAGTTGAATTCACATTTTTTAAACATGGGTCTCTTCTACCTTAATATGCATACCAAGTTTCATAAAGATGGTTGAAAAAATTTTAAAGATAAAAATGATAATGTCAAAAATACAAAATGGCCGATATCTAGTTAACGAAGTGATTTTGGAAAAAATATTATTCATTATTTTATATTTATTTTGACCCAAGAAATCAGGACTACGTAAATTATTTCCCACCTTTTTTTAAACACCCTGTATAACACAGATAAATAATTTGTGTTATGCCACTCAATAACACATTGAAATGGTTTCCATTCAAAGTGAAATAATAATTAATTTTCATTTAGTTTCTTTTCACATCGTCCAAAATGGAATCAAGCGTATCTTCCTTATGTCGGAATTAAATTCAATATCACACTGAATGGTTTACATCCATTTTGTCAATTGGAACATTTTATGGGCTTTTAAATTATATGATATATTGAAACGTGAACTGAAATGGTTATACATAATCATTCTTGTCTATCGATCTTTTTATAAATTCTTACTCTTTGAAAATGCTTAAATTT